TGTGAAACGTTTCTACAAATAGTTAGGGCAACTCCTAAGACTCACTCAGAGGCAGTTCTACGCACTCATTTGGCAAACAAATTTAGGCGGCCATATCACATTTAAACTATTAAGAGGAAGCGACTTAGAGATACCCTATATTTGCCCTACAACTTTAACATTTTTTTTCTGAGTGACACAGAATTAAGAATATTATAATAATATAATTTTGATGAATTTATTTGATACATATACTCTCAATCCATCATAGATGGATATAAATTTTAATATATTTTATGGAAATGCAAAATGTCTAAGTCTATAAAAGAGTCGGAAATAAACATGGACAGACCTAGAACTTATATTTTCTCTTAGAGGATCGGTGAAGTCTATCTGTTGCCTGTTGCATATATTTGAATCAAAACAGCATACCATGCTAGACATTAGCCAGGGTATATATACATACATACATATAGATATATATAACTGTGAGTATTTATCGAAGCTGGTGACTATTTCGCTGCTGTCTTTTTGGCGAAACAAGTAGTTGAATTTCCTTTTTCAAAAACTTAGATATTGACAGAGAGTTTAAACTTGTGCAGCTGAGTGTGTATTGTATATATATATATGTGTGTGTGTGTGTGCGTGTGTGTGTGTGTGTGTGTGTGTGACATTAAGCCACACACAAACAAGTGCGCCATATTTGGCAATTGACTTTGCGGCCAAGTCAGAAATAACTATTTGTTTTTTGCTCGCGTTTGGACGCAGTATTTGCCTAACACACAAACACATATCTACATTATATATATATCAATTTATATATATGTATATGCATGTAAAAGCCTGCGTTTTTTGCTAACTGTTTACGCTGCCCACTTGATTTGCTTGGCTTGATAAATAATTTTAGTTTTATAAACACAAATTGACACTTCAAATTGTTCGCCAAAAAAAAAGCACAGCAAAAGAAAACGAAAAAGAAAGAGCGACAAAAAGTCTTGCAAAAAGCATGAAATCGATTGGAATTAAGCCGCCCCGTTTCTCGTTGAGATTTGCTGCCCCCAAGGGCCAGCAGCCGTAAGAAGTTTTGTCTGGAACGCGGGATCTGATATATCATAAACTTAAGCATAACCACTTCTCAGAATTGCCAAACCAGGTAGCCGCCCCACCTGCTGTTGTTGCTGTTGCTGTTGTTGTCGAATCTGATTTGTATCGGCAAAGATCTAACAGTTAAATATCACAGCTATCTAATGCCGCTGCGGGGCGTTGCGTATCAAGAACTGCCCAAAGGCGAATCTCTGATCTTGAGAAATGGAACCTCGAGTACGAATTATGTTTGCCCAACAGCACGTTAATTAATTGTTTGTCTAGTGATTAAAGCGGATTCGCGTTGAGAATATAAACGATTATATTTATAGATAGAGTAGCGATTGTATGCTAATTATAACTAACAAACTCAAAGTGTTCTAAATAAAATATAATCTCGTATCATAAATCTATAGAAATGGGTCATTCAAGCAACGTAACTAGCTTAAATGAAAGATTTTATGATACATTCATAGCAATTGGTTTTCCTTTTTTTTCCCCCTATTGATAAGAATATTCATTTTCTCCGGGCTCCACATAGTCACCCCTACACCTACCCCTGCCCCCAACCAACCTCTCTCTGTCAGCTCATAAACCAAGTTGTTTGTAATAGTTTAAGCATTTAATGAGCTGCACTTGATGCAGTGGGTGCGAAAGGGATGGCAACCCAATTCTTATCGGAATTATTGTTCCGCGTAATTGATCTAGTTGGGGCGCGTCGCGGAGCCAATAAATATTATTTCAACTGGCAACTTATGCAAGCAGATGCTGAACGCTAATAAGATGGCAAACAGTAATATGTTTTCAATTAAAAATAATAATAAAAACTAAATAGGAAACTTACCACACAAAACAAAAACAGAAATTGTATTTAACAAGGCAGCCCAACACCTGTTGCACTTGTTGCTGCTGTTGTTGTTGTGGCGTTGTTGTTGTTGTTGTTGTTGTTGCTGCTCCAATTTGTGAATGAGCTTAATTGCATTTATCGATAGCACTTTGTTTGGCTTGCGTCAAAGTTATCGTTTCTGGTTTCTAGCTGTTGTTATTGTTGTTGTTGCTATTGCAGTTGCAGTTGTTGTTGCTTTAATTAGCAACACAAACACATTAACTAACACAGACACACACACGCGCTCGCTCACATACGCACACACACGAACTCCGCGTGGCAGACAGGCGCATGGCAGGGGGCGCCCACGCAACGTGCCAAAAGAAAACGCGTTTATTGAAAATGCAACTGCGACAGGCGACGACGGCAGCAGCAGCAGCGTCAGCTGCGCAAAGAACTTTTGTGGGCTGCACCAGCTATTGCAGCGGCAGCCAAAAAAATACGACGAAGAAAAAACAAATCAAATTGCAATGCAACAAAAGTGCAACTTTGTTAATTTCGAACTTAACCGTTTTGCTGGAGTGCTCGCGACTAACTGAAAACTGACAGAATTTCAAATTTACCCGTCGGCCGCTCAGTGTGCTTGTCTTCTTCTTGCTGTCTGTCTTTCTTCCCCGATTTGTGTGTGCAAGTGCTACGCGTGCGCACCACAACTGCTCGCCTCGGACATCGACAAACGACTGAAGTTAAGAGAGCCACCGACCGCTCGTTGCTGACGATCGAGAAGAGTGCAACAACTCAACTCGCTCCAATAGCACCGCTCTCTCTTTACATGTGTTCGGTTATCCGATGCGTATGATTAATTTTGATATACTTATATTATAAAAAAGCGTATAAAAAAGCGTATTTCTACAACAGTTCAATCATAGGCGCACTTTACATTTCTTTATATTTTTATATTAAATAATATATCTCATTAAATACTAAAAATCTGTTTATAATTTATTTTGATATATTAAATATTTAAAATAAATATACTTTGAATCAAATATTGATTAATTTACGATTCCTTTTAGTCAAGTATTTGTGTTTACTTAAAACGAAAACTAATTGTTGAATATTTTGATTTGCAATAGTAACAAAAGTAACGGTTTCCGTTTTTCGGTATTTGTGGTATTTTTTAGTACCATATTCTTTAATCGCAATCACTGGTTAGTGTCGCAATTTACATAAAATAATACTGATTAAAGAGCAGAAGATCGGAGCCAGCTTGTTCGTGATCAAACTCAACAATTTTAACCCATCAAAATAAATTCTGTTGTTTTAAAATTTAAATCAGAAGTTGAAGCGTACCAAAAATTGTCCAAAAGTTTATTGTTAACCCATCCCTGGCACAACATATGTTCTGAACTGACCATCTGTAAGCGAACGTAGTTGCTATCCCTTTCTGCTCGTCAAAGCGTAAATGCGTACATTTTTTAGAAATTTATAAGTTCAAATAAAATTGAAAGATGATGTCTAAACGAATGCAAATTTGGAGGGCAACCCAAGCGGTGCTCACTCTGAACTCAACATGCAACAGAGCTTCTACACAGGTAAGTAGGAATAGCAGCCGGCGATTATCTTCCCGGGAGCTTCCTATGACATAACCTGCAAAGAGCGGTTTGTTATGAATGAAATGGCAATGAATATCCATGGATTGTATAGAGGAAACTCTTTGCAGATGTTTTCTTTAGGTGGCAGTAGTCGCGACATGCACCTGAGCAGCAGTTGGAGCAACCAGCTAAGTAACCGTATAATTGCTGCACCTCTGATCCCTCTTTATGCCTCGGCGCCCGGTGCAATACGCTTTGCGAGCAGTCAGAAAGATATACCTGTTGAATCGGTGCCCAGCAAGGAAATTGTGGACCTACCTGCCATACCGGATGCCCCAACTCCGCCATCCAATTTAGTCACGGAAAGCTTTATGGAAGCCGGCGAACCGTCGTTTGCTTCAATCGGACTAGGTGGTTGGTCGCCGCCTGGCATGATTCAGAACTGTATGGAGTTCTTGCACTGTACATGGGACATTCCCTGGTGGGGCGCCATTGCTATAGGCACGCTCTGCGTACGCACATTAATCTTTCCTCTGGTCATCCTGGCACAGCGTAACTCCGCCAAAATGAGCAACAACATGCCACAGATGCAGGTGTTGCAGTTGAAGATGACTGAGGCTCGACAGTCGGGTAATGCCATCGAATCGGCCCGCTATGCCCAGGAAATGATGCTGTTCATGCGCGAGAAGGGCGTTAATCCTCTCAAGAATATGATTGTGCCATTGGCTCAGGCACCACTCTTCATCTCCTTCTTTATGGGTCTGCGTCAGATGGCCAATACGCCAGTCGAATCGATGCGTGACGGTGGCCTCTTCTGGTTCACCGATCTCACTCTGGCCGACCCATATTATCTGTTGCCGGTTATAACCAGTGCCACGCTCTACCTCACCATTGAACTGGGCACTGACAGCGCCCGTCTGTCGGCTGCAAATATGAACACCATGAAGTACGTGCTACGTGCCTTGCCCATTGTCATATTCCCATTCACCATGAACTTCCCTGCCGCCATTCTTACCTACTGGGCCTGCAGCAACTTCATCTCGCTCGGGCAGGTGGCCCTGCTGCGTATTCCCAAGGTGCGGGATTACTTCAAGATCGAAAAAATGATCTCCCACCCGCCCAGTGCACTGCCAGCCAAGAAGAAGGGCTTTGTGGGGGGCATGAAGGAATGTAAGTTGATTCAAATCGAGTCAAAAGTGAGTCTTAATCAAACTAAATTTGTGCTCTTGCAGCCTGGGATAACATGAAGATCACCAAGGAGATCGAAGAGCGTCAGCGATTGGACGAGATACGCTTTGCCAAGGCCGGCAAGGGTCCGCTGGTAAAGACGTTCAAGTATGATCCCACCAAACCGCATTCAAGCCCAGTCAATACAAATTCAAGTCCAAGCACCAATCCCAATCAAATCGAAACACAGGTCACGAGTAACTTGAAGTCCAGTTCCAAGCATTAGTTGTAGCCCTTTCGACCGTGGCGCTCGTTGTTAATGTTAGATATAGTAGTTTCACCAGAAGTTGAAGCATATGTATATGCTAAAATATAATATATTTTCTATTAAAACAAAGAAATACAGAAACGAAGTTAACCCTTGGCCGAAATGCATTGATTTATGACTTCGGCTAGATGCTTGTTCTCCAGTGCTGCAGCGACCCGTTCCTTGTCTGCTAGCTGCTTGTTCACAGCGAACTCGGAGGCGTGCGTGCCCGGCGTTATCTCGACGGTGACCTTGAAGCGCGGAGGCAGTGATCGCAACAGCTTCACCCGTATGGAGAGACCTATCAACGTCGCCATCGAACAATGGGGAATCGTGGGCGTAAAGTTGATGTGTACCGAATTCTGTTTGTCACTGATGCTAATGAGTTCCTCTTGTACGACATGCAGCTCTTCTAATGTGAGCGGGTGCTCAGGATCATTGATGTTTCGTATGAGATCTGCTCTGAGAAAGCTTTTACTAATAAAAATGTTATTTGTCGAAGTGTTGATATGCTCACCAAAGATCTCACGTTTGTCAAAAGGATCGGCAACGCTGTCGTTCTCTTCGTTAGCTGTTATCAAGCGCTCCTTGATCTTGCCATAAACGCTTGGATTTATATTCTCAATTTCTGTAGGCATTATTACTATTATTTACGGCTAATTTACGTACTTAACTATTATTATTGTATTTATTCAACTATAAATTTGCACAATGCTTGCGAACAGTGTGCACACTCTTGTTGTCTACCTAATAAACACATTTTGCCACAGAATACTTATGCTCAAATTGGGTAGGCACACACTGGTTGCTCTAGAACGTTTACCATTTTGAATTGTTAATTTAGCCCTATTTAAAACGGCCTGTAGCAATTAAAATTAACTAGCATTTGTACAAGTGAAAAATTTCCAGAAAATGATTATTATCGCCTTACGTAAAGCAACGCAATTAAAAAAGGTTTTACATTTATAGTTATGTTCACTTTAATTAATCTTTCCGAGTATTGCGCCCATTAGACAAACATCGAAGCCCAACTCAACTTTTTCGCAACAAGGTGCTAAATATAGATGACTAATATAAATCGGGTATCCAAGCCGCTACTACCTGGTCAATACCAATATATATGCACAGGTATTATATATAATCACATTCTAGCCACCTGACAAGAGCTCTCCGCCTTGGGCCACATTTGATTCGAAGTCAAATCTGACACATTTATTAAGTATATATATAAACATATAGCAATAACTGGTTATATATATACATATCTGTGTCAATTGATGCTACGGTGATTTTTCGCAGCTTTTAATTATCTAGCTCTATCGATTTAGTATCAATGAATAAAAATATTGTGTATAAACACACACAATAATATTGATATAGAAACTTTACTGCAATTATCACCAGCTTACGAACTAGTTAACAGCTATGTTAAACATCTCACTGGCGCTCTCGTCTGGAGAGATCCGCATCCATATAATGCACCGAGCAGTGTAGCAACTCCCACAGTAGGTAACTAACTTTACTACAGTTCGGAACAATGAGGAAATTCGTAAGTCGCATGAGCGATTTTTTTCTAAGCCCATTTATAATTTAACTGTTTTACAGTTGATTTTTGTGACCCTGTGCGCAGTTTGCAGTGCAGCTCCAACGAGCCCTCCGCTTAAAGATGAACCATTGAGTTCAGGCGGCATCAAGAGTCACCCAGAGATACCTGACAGCATTGTGGCGCACGGATTACTGCAGCACGATGGTAAAATCCATCGCTCAAGTGGTCTCGACCGGCCCAGTCCGATTAATCCAGATGTCATAAGCGATCCAAAGCCCACTTCAATCATAATTGCCCATGATGAGCCGCAAAAGGGCGCTCGTCATACACGTGACATACCCGTGCCGACACAGGTGAAGACCACAAGCGCTCCCAAGGAGGAGAAGGAGAAGGAGAAACCCCAGGTGGAGGAAACTAGTACCAGCAGACCAGACAGTCCACTGCGTCACCGTCCAGTGCCCGTTGCAGAGCTCTTCAACAAACCCAAGGCCCAACCCGCCGCCAGCTCCGCTGAGCATAAGGAAAGCAAGGAGAGCGATGAAAGCAAGGAGGGCAAGGTCTAAGCCACGATCCCCATTCCAACTGTTGATTTTTATGTAAGCCCGCTAATTGGCTCGTCATGTTACGAATATAAGAAAACAACTCGCGAGTAGTAAACAAATAAATAAATAGAAACGATAATATTTACACGCTCACAAAACCCATTTGCTAATTAATAACTAAATAACAACTAAAAGTTTATATGGAGTCACTAACATTGGCTTCCTCTGCCCTAGTTCCAAAGTATTCATCGGCTTTGAAGATAGGAACCGCTTGGAACTCGCCATCAATCAAATTAGTTTTAGGGGTTGCACTAGATGTCTCTGCGGTGGATAGCCTAGTCTTTAGGGGTTTCAGTAGCAGGCCCTTTATACTGTAGTCGGTAACATTGAGCTCCTGCTCTGCGACGTCTACAGATTTCTCCACTTCATTCAAGTTCTCATTTACGGCGGCCACAAACGTGTCTAATTTGTCGATTCGCTGACGCAATTCATCGAAGTTGGCGCTAAAGCTGAGTATGCTGCATACATGGTTCGCCATTATGCCATTAGACTCGGCCCGTACCTAATATATATTAATAATTGTATTAAGCTATTTAAAATTTGTACTTCAAATTACACTTACGGAGGCCAAAACCGTTTCGAATTCGTCCAATCGTGCGAGCATGTCGTCTATGTTGTTGCATAGTGGATTTATCTGTCAATTGATAGAGCAGAGCTATTACCAGTTGAAATCGTTGTTACTGATGTGTCTACATACCTCCTTTTCCAGATTGGCACTTTGTATAATTTTAGCATAATCCTCCGCCGCTTGTTCAACCATTTTTCTCCTTATCATCTGTTGCTGCCAACAGACGAAATATCAACAAAATGCAGTTTCGATAACTCACAACAAAATAATCGATTGTAAATTCACAATTGACAGCACTGGACTCCGAATAAACTCACTAAATTGTGAACAATTACAAACATATAATAATTGGTGTACGAATATCTCAATTTAGTAATGAATTGTGAAAAAGCATTATTTTTGTTAAAAAGTGAAAATAATATTGTATAGAAAAATTCAATTACTATCGGCGATTAATCGTTAACACTCGAAACACTCTTTAATTCAGTGCTGGGTAATGACAAGTCTGATTAGGTTGGCAACAATGTGTATATTGCAAATTCTATTCTCGCGTATGTTGTATTGATTGGTGCTTTATTCGAAAAGAGCAAGAGCCATATTAGGAGCTATTGCAGCCATGAGCAACTACCGTGGCATCGGAGGCGGCGGCTTCCCCTATAAGAAACAGCCCGGCGCAGGCAACAATATGAGCGCAGTGCCGCCGCCGCCGGCATTAAGCAACAATCGTGGAGGCGGTGGATTTCGATTTAGCTTTAATCAGTCCAGAGGCGGCGCTGCTGCAGCTGCTACAGCCGGTAACACATCAAAGCATGGCTACTCGACGCTGGAGTCCATCAGCCAGTACACAAACTCGACCAATTTCGTGGGCAAGCGCAAGCAACACATGGACGACGATTACTTCGACGACGACGACGAGCCGCCGCAGAAAGCTCCGCCGGAGCAGGCGTATATACCAGCGCCCGGATCCCCGGGTGCGCCAGCCAAGAACGACTCGGATTCGGACGAGGATCCGCTGGAACAGTTCATGGCCGGCATCAAACAGCAGGTGGAAAAGGAGAAAGTACGTGCCACAGATCCGCAGCAAAAGACAAATGTAGCACCGCTCGAGAAGAAGGGAGTGCGCGGTGACATCGATGATGAGGACGACGAGGAGAGCTACTACCGCTACATGGAAGAGAACCCCAATGCCGGCATGCGCGACGAAGGCTCCGATCAGGAGATCGACTACGATGAGGATGGCAATCCGATAGCTCCACCCAAAAAGAAGGACATCGATCCCCTGCCGCCCATATATCACTCGGAGATCGAGTATGAGCCCTTCGAGCGCAATTTCTATACGCCGCACGAGGACATCGCCCAGCTGGACGAGGAGCAGGTGCGCGAGTTGCGCCACACGCTGGGCGTCAAGGTGAGCGGCGCCCAGCCCCCCAAGCCAGTCACCTCCTTCGGCCACTTCGGGTTCGACGATCAGCTGCTGAAGGCCGTGCGTAAGGCGGAGTACACACAGCCCACGCCCATTCAAGCCCAGGCGGTGCCCGCCGCTCTGTCCGGGCGCGACATCATCGGCATTGCCAAAACGGGCTCCGGCAAGACGGCAGCGTTCATCTGGCCGCTGCTCACCCATCTCATGGATCAGCGTGAGCTCCGTGCGGGAGACGGACCAATTGGGCTGATTCTGGCGCCCACGCGCGAGCTCTCTCTCCAGATCTACAACGAGGCCAAAAAGTTCGGCAAGGTGTACAACATAAACGTGGTCTGCTGCTACGGCGGCGGCTCCAAGTGGGAGCAGAGCAAGGCACTGGAGCAGGGCTGTGAGATTGTGGTGGCCACACCCGGTCGCATGATCGACATGGTCAAGATGAAGGCCACCAACTTGAGGCGCGTCACATTTCTCGTGCTGGACGAGGCGGATCGCATGTTCCACATGGGCTTCGAGCCGCAGGTGCGCTCCATTTGCAACCATGTGCGCCCGGATCGACAGACGTTGCTCTTCTCGGCCACGTTCAAGAAACGCATCGAGCGTCTGGCTCGCGATATTCTGACAGATCCGGTGCGCATTGTCCAGGGTGATCTGAATGAAGCCAACCAGGACATTACACAGCACGTTTACGTGTTTCCCAATCCCTTACAAAAGTGGAACTGGCTGCTCTGCCATCTGGTTAAGTTCCTCTCTGAGGGCGCTGTCCTCGTGTTTGTCACCAAGAAGGCGGACGCCGAGACGGTGGCCAACAATCTGCTGGTGAAGGAGTACAACTGCCTGCTCCTGCACGGCGACATGGACCAGGCGGACCGCAACAAGGTCATCACGCAGTTCAAGCGCAAGGAATGCGACATCCTGGTGGCCACCGATGTGGCCGCCCGTGGCCTCGACATTCCCCACATACGCAACGTGGTCAACTACGACATTGCCCGGGACATTGACACGCACACGCATCGCATTGGACGCACGGGCCGTGCTGGCGAGAAGGGCAACGCCTATACCCTGGTCACCGACAAGGACAAGGAGTTTGCTGGGCATCTGGTGCGCAACCTGGAAGGTGCTGATCAAACGGTGCCCGACGATCTAATGGAGCTGGCCATGAAGAGCTCCTGGTTCCGCAGCTCACGCTTCAAGCAGGGCAAGGGACGCAAGCCCGTCAACAATTTCATGGGTCTGGGCTATCGCGAGCGGTCGGGCAATGCGGGCGGCGGAAGTGGCGGAGCTGGTGCATCTGCTGGCGCTGCATCTAAAACCAAAGGCCCCCTCGGCGAGTCCACTAAGTCGCTGTCTGGCGGCGGACCCGCCACTGATCGCTATTCGGCCATACGTCAGGCCTTCCGCTCGCAATACTCCTCGCAGTTCCGCGCTTCCAGCGATCGCACCTGGGAACAGACGGTGCCCGAGACGGGCGTCTTTGCCGCACCGCCACCTCCGCCGCCGCCAGCAGCAGGCGGCAACTCTTCCACATCCTCCACAGCCTCAGGTAGCAATGCGGATGCGAA